ATATTGTTTTGTCTCGAAATAGGGAGGCCCTAGGAGAGGGAGAGAGATGTGGTATTGGCCAGTTGGTGGAACAGTCGACACACACATTTATTGATTAAGTTGATTTATTGATTAAGTTTGTTTTACATGGGCATGGTTCTTAGTGTCCCCAAACAATTACAGTAGTAATGTCAAAGATCACTGATCACAGATCACCATAACAGATCTAATAATAGTGAAAATATTTGAAATATTGCAAGGATCATGAAAATATGTCACAGAGACACAAAGTGAGCACATGCTGTTGGGAAAATGGTGCTGATAGACTTGCTAGGCATAGGGTTGCTAATAAACCTTCAATTTGCTTAGAATGCAATGTCTACAAAGCACAATAAAATGAGGTATGTCTGTGTACTATTGAAATAAATTGGATTAATCTGAACTAGATTGTTATAAATTGAGGTGTTAATTGTAATCCCAAGGACAGCCACTAAGAATGTAATTTAAAAATATGTGGTAAATGAAATGACAAGAGAACTAAAATAGCACTCTAGAAAACATTTAACACAATAAAGGCAGTAATGGAAGAATTAAGGAACAAAAAAGACATAAGACATACAGAAGACAAATAGTAAAATGGCAGACATAAATTCTTATCAGTAATTACATTAAATACAAATGGGTTGAGCGCTGATCCGAAGGCATAGCTCAGCAGCATGAATTTTTGGATCCAGCTATATGCTGTGTACAAGACATACACTTTACATTCACAAATGTTATTATAATAGGTTGAAAGTAAAGGGTGGAATAATATATAGCCTGCAAACAATAACCAAAAGAGAGCTGAGGTTGCTACGCTAATATCAGACAGAATAGACTTTAGGACAAAAATTGTTGTAAGAGTCAAAGAAGAGCATTTTATGGTCAAAGTATCAATTCGTCTAGAATATTTAACGATTACAAACCTGTGTGCGTCTAACAACAGAGCTCCTACATACATGGAGGGAAAATTCACAGAATTAAAGAGAGAAATAGACAATTCACCAGTAATAGTAGGGGACGTCAGTACATAACTGTCAATAATAGGTAGAACAATCAGACAAAAAGGACCTAGAATACTTGAACAACAGTATAAAACCAATTAGTTCTAGTAGACATCTGTAGAACATTCCACTCAACAACAGCTGAATATTCTCTAGTGTGCATGGAACATTCTCCAAGATCGGTCATATATTTGGCTGTAAAACAAGCCTCAATAAAAGGAGTGAAATTACATGCAGTATGTTCTCTGACCACAATAGAATAAAATTAGTTATCAGTAACAGAAATTTGGGGGAGTTGACAAATATGTGGAAATTGAACAACTCCTAAATAATCAAAAGAATAACAAACAAAACCCAAAGCAGGTAGAAGGAAGGAAATAAGATTAGAGTAGAAATAAATGAAATAGAGAATAGAAAAACAAGAGGAAAAAAATTAACAATTAACCCTCAAGTTCTTCTAAAAGATCAACAAAATTAACAAACTTTTATTAATAGATTGACCAAGAATTAGAGAAAAGTATTAAAATCGGGAATGAAAGAGAGGGAGAGGACATGACTACCAACCTTTTTTTTTTTTTTTTGAGACAGAGTCTCACTCTGTTGCCCAGGCTAGAGTGAGTGCTGTGGCGTCAGCCTAGCTCACAGCAACCTCAAACTCCTGGGCTCGAGCAATCCTTCTGCCTCAGCCTCCCAAGTAGCTGGGACTACAGGCATGTGCCACCTTGCCTGGCTAATTTTTTCTAAATATTTTTAGTTGTCCAGCTAATTTCTTTGTATTTTTAGTAGAGATGGGTCTCGCTCTTGCTCAGGCTGGTGTTGAACTCTGAGCTCAAACGATCCACCTGTCTCGGCCTCCCAGAGTGCTAGGATTATAAGTGTGAGCCACCTATGCCTGGTCCTGATGAAGGAAGTTTTTAAAACAGAAAAATCAGCATTTTGGAAAAGTAGGACCACTAGACCTTCTGTGCCTCTTAATCTACTGCAATCAGAAATACTCATACCCCCTAGGAAGTACTGTTAACACCAGGGGGGAAAAACTCAAAACAAAGCAAAGAAACCCTGAATCTACTCAAGACTCTAGGTCTGATAACCAGTTTGCACAGATTATAGGAGGTGGCGGGTAGAGGAACAAGGTAAATAATACCTCAGATATGTAATCATTTGAATCTAAAATGTAAGACATTCTACAGATGGAACACCTAGAAAAAGACTTAAATGTATATGGAAATCTAGTGCATTATAAAGGAAATATCTTAAATCAGTGGGGATGATAAAGACATTTAAATTAGTACTGTTGTTAAAACTGGATAGCTAATTGGAAAATGATAAAATTGGATTCATTCCTCATGCCATAAACCAGGATACACTACAAGTAGATCGGTGATCTAATGTAAAAAACGAAACCATTCTAGAGTTAGAAGAATACATGAGTGATAAAACCGAGGAGTAGGGAGTACTTTGAAATCTAGAAGCAATAAAAGAACATTACACAAAAATTTTCAAATGTTTTGTATAACAGTAAACCAGCATAGCTATTTCATGATTCCTCTTGTATAAAATGTCTAGAAAAGGCAAGTCTATAGAATCAAGATTAGTGGTTGCCTAGGGCTACGAGTACAAATGGGAAGTGACTCTAAATGAGCATAAGGAATCTTTTTTGGGCTGATAGAAATATTTTAAATTGTATTATGGTGGTGGTTGCACAACTCTAAATTTGCTATACGTAAAAATTAAACAATATCATCAAGAAGCAATCACCCAAATCCAGGATGTGGGACATTTCATAAGACAAATGACCAAATTTCCCCAACATATCAGTGATAAGGATTGGAAAAAAATGGGTGAGGGAGAATTGTATTAAAACGAAAAAGACTTATGAGACGTAACAGTCAAGGTCATTGTGGAGACCTTTTTTTGTATTCTGATTGAAATAAATCTTATAAAGAACAGCTTTAAAACTATTGGGAAATTTTGAATATGAACTGGATGTCTACGTATTAGGTAGTATTAGAGGATTATTGTTAATTTATTAGGTATAATGATACAGTGTTTATGTAAAAAAAAGTCCTTATCAATGTTGTAAAAGTTTTTACAAGTATAATGACATTGTAGGATTTAAGTATTCCAACCAAAAGAAAACAACGGAACAGAGGCTTAAATGGAGCAAGATTGGCAAAACGTGGATTATTTTTTAAATTGGGTTATGTATATTTGTGGGTTGACTATACCTTTTTGTTTACTTTTACATATGTTTGAGAATATCCAAAGAAAGTTAAGGTCGGTCATGGTGGCTCACGCCTGTAATCCAAGCACTCTGGGAGGCCAAGGCGGGAGGACTGCTTGAGCTCAGGAGTTCAAAACCAGCCTGAGCAAGAGCAAGACCCCGTCTCTACTAAAAATAGAAAAAATTAGCCAGGTGTGGTGGCACGTGCCTGTAGTCCCAGCTACTAAGGAGGCTGATGCGGAGGATTGCTTGAGCCCAGGAGTTTGAGGTTGCTGTGAGCTGACCTGACACCACTGCACTCTAGCCAGGGCAACAGAGCAAGATTCTGTCTAAAAAAAGAAAGAAAGAAAGAAAAGAAAGTTAAAAAAAATTCGCTGATGCTAGTTGAGAAAATTGTCATGCCTTTTGCAGGTACACTACCAATTAGAAATGGAAAGCTGTAGTGAGTCAGGCTCTCTCCTGCTAGTTTCTCATACCTGATTCATGTCGTCTTTTGTATATTACCTATCCTACCATTTCAGGAAACAACATGGCAGAGCATCTAGGAGAAACTTCAGCAGAGCAAGAAGTTACGTGTGACAGTGGAGGCAAGACCCTCCCCAAACAGGTAGTAGGAACATCCTTTTAAATAAAAGATTTATGTTTTTATTTAAAAGTGGGACTGCAGGTTAAAATGAAAATCTTGCAGGCTTTGTATGCAAGAGGTCCAGGTATGGATCCTGTCCCAGTGACTCGTTATTTGTGTGACTGCTTCCTCTTAAGTTTAAAAATGGGGGAGTGATGTGCTCGCTTCAGCAGCACATTGGAATGATACAGAGAAGATTAGCATGGCCCCTGC